GATCGATCTAAAATGTTAAACAATAGGTAATAACCATATTTTGGCTGTGTGTGTGTGTGTGTTATAATGGACACGGTCAAGAGTGCAGATGCATCCATAATGTCATTGCTGCGGCCTTCTTCTGTATCATTATTTTCTGTTGTGGTTAATTAAAGGAAATTAAACAAACGAACGAACGTGCTGAACGGTTGTTTGGTGTAATTTTCGATGCCTTGATCTTAAGCATAATGATAATTAATCGTCCTCTTAATTATAATATGTTTTCATTGCGTCGATGTTTTCCACTCTGTCCATCCAATCGAATCGCTGCCGCTGCAAACGAATGATCGAGTCTATGACATTTTTCTGAATGTTGTGTGAATAAAAAAAACACTGAGAAAAAAGTGATTACAAGGGAACACACACCGTACATTGGGTTAAAAGTGAAAGTAGAAGATGGTATGTAGCTATGACAATAATCGAAAAAAGCAAGAAAAAATGAATAAAAACACATCATGCGAGTGTGCTAAGAGTTTAACGCATTTTCTATAATGAGCCAAAATGATTGAAACTCAAACAATGTTCCAGTCAACGTCAATTCGTCGTTGAGCAGATAGACACACAAACCTCAATACAATAACCGACAAAACTACATTTTCTACTGCATGCATTCGTACAGTACGATAAATGAATACACGTGTATTTTTTAATTTCGTTGAACAAGTTACTTTGCTTGAAACCAACTCGAAACACACTGAGTGAATACACACTCACACCGGCACGACGCACAACAAATGTAATAAAACAAACCTTTACATTGAAATGAAAACAGAGACAGCATATCGTAAGCGATGACGTGTATGTGGTCAAAGTAGTAGTTGAATGTGTGATGGAATGAACAAGAGTGCCCGCACTACACACTCACACTATTTCTCTCTTCGGGCTCACGTAGAAGACGGGAATGTTTAATAAAACAACACAAAATCGACTGTGGTACATTTCGAGATTGGCTGTCAGTCGTGTGGAATTCGTCTTGCGGCATCAACACAAAAATCGTATTCTTGTGCTTCTCCTCGGCGGTCGTGTCGATTCAGTTACACATTTTTCGGACACAACAGAACAAAAATTCAACTACAATTCATTCTTCAATTTTGTTTATGTAATTACATCGAATTCGTTGGATTCTGTTTATCTTTACCGGTGTCGTTGTTAGTTTGTGTGCACATTATTTTTCCATCTTGATTCACATTCGTCTGTTTGTTCAATATCACAGGTGTGTATTTTTATACTTTTTCATTGTTTGTCATTCATATTACATTTGACAATTGATTTCAATTTTGGCCAAAAAAAAAGAGGAGGCGGCAACTTTTGTTCATAACTTGAAGAAGATACGATGAAAAAAAAAACGGTTTAGATATATTTCATTGAGATCACGAGTTAAAACGTGTGTTGATGTGACGTGGTAGCATTTCATTGGATGGTGTGACATCAATATTGTCTTCCAACGCCGAATGTCCATGTGTGAATGTCTCGTACACAGTCGACGAATTCATTAAGCGAAAAGAAAGATTCCGAATTTTGACATCGAAAGAAATTTCGAATGCGGAAAGATATTAAACCCAAATAATCATCAAGACTAGATGGAAGTCGCGCTTCACGGTGAAAGTAGTTCTGGATTGTTCAGTTAATTTTAAAGCCGAAAACTCAAAAAACCGGATAGCAACGGCGAATGCAACGCAATCCAAAAAAATCGAAATTCATTCCAAACGAATGAACCGACCGAAGACAAAAGAAGAAGAAGAAATAATATTAGGCGCAACCTCGTGCGTTCTTTTTCAAGTTTAATTGTTCGATGCTTGTATAACCGCTCTTTCATCCAAGTGAAACAGCTAGCGGAAAACATTCACGAGTTATTGGATAACAATAGTATATGCGAAGCGGTGGCAGTTTCCAATTCATAATGCGCACAACAGAGTGTATGGAACGATACGAAACAAGCACAAAATCCAGATTGTCAGATGAAGCGATTTATAGATACTATCTAATGACGATTATGCCTCGTTGAAATATGACGACGTTTGCAAAAACAAATGATGAATTTTGTGCACACACACACACACACGCATAACGCACGCAATCCAAAATTGAATGGCTGGCGCATAAGAATCTGTAACGCTGTTGTTGGTTTTTTCTTCTTCTTCTTCTTCTATTTTTGCGAAAAGCATTCATTGCACTCGCTCTCGAGCCACACAGACACAGCGACAGTAGCAATAACATTAAGTCATGCGTAGCAATCAAACGCAAATTGAATGGATATTAATCGTAATTATTCGGCCGGTTAATAATTTCAACTTGTTCTTCTGCTGTTTCTTTTTTTCATCATCTCTATTCTTTTTTGCTAAGTTTTGAGTTCAACTCTAACTGGTTACGGATGTAGAAAAGACCATATCAATATAGTTATTTTGGTTGGTGGTACAAATCGGCGGTCGTTTTCTGCCGTCTTCGTTTGTTTGTTTCATCAGTAGAAAAACCAACAAACCAAACCCGTCAAAAATGTTGCAAATATCGTTGTCTCGCGCTCGGTTCATACCAAAAAGAAACACTGTACAAATAATAAACATTGTATGCGAGTGTGATATGACAGCAGTCGCGACTTTTTCTACCAGTCGTAGTTTCTAGCATTGTCGCGCTGTAAATACCGGATTGATATCGAGTGAGTGAGTGACTGAGTGAGAGAGAGAGAGAGAGAAAAGGGTTGCTGTCTTTATTGAGGATTATCCACGTCGACCATACGTCCGTTAAATCTAACCGTTGAACAGAACACAAAAAACAACTTTCAATTGACGATTTGGCTCGAAATATATTCACCTTTATTGGATTGACAAAGCTTCGTTTAGAATACCTTTTATCTCATGGTGAATTTATTTTTTTCCTTTTATTTGTGTTCCTTCTCATCTCCCAAAAAAATAAACAAATTCAATTCAACCGATTCGATTTTGTAAAATGCTTCGTGTTGTTGTTTCGATCAAGAATGTGGCATCAACGTTAGATTCCAGTATTTTTTATTCGGTAAAGTTAATCGGAATCTGACAAAAAAAAAAGAAAAAGACGAATATAGCTTGCATGACAACATGTGGTCGATCGTCTTTTTCGTTGCTTTTTTTCTAACAGAGGAGAACGAGATTGAAATCGGCACTGACCAAAGGTTACTTTTTGGTTGTTAGATATCTAGACTGTTATGCGTCGAAATTGCTTCTACGAAAAATTTAACACTATTTATTCGGCTCAAATCATTTTCACTCCGATTATGACAAATTATGACTCTGAGCAGTCGAATAAATTGTTATTTCTCCTTCTCGGCGATAAATCGTTAAATAACACGTTAAAACCTATATGAAAATTGGACTTTAAACGGTTTTCCTCTTTTTATCAAGTGTATGAATATTAGAAGCGTCATGCATGTCATGCAAACCTTTACATTGATATTTCGTTATTCGATAAACAAATGATCACATCTTAATTTTATTCATCCAACAGCAAAACCAAATATGGTTGTCATAACTTTTTTGGCTACACTTTCATCTTTCGTTCATTCATTCATTCGCATGTAAGCGTTAATTTTTAAGCGAAGTTTCTTTGATTTTACCATTCTTTCATTCAAATCGTTAACAACTTTCTAATCGAGCAATCACTTTATTACCGTTGTGATTTACATCACTCTCTTTTTCGGTCAGTGGCCCGAAAAGTAGCCAAAGAAAATCATCAAGTATGTGCGAAGGGCGATGAACCAATCGTGTGGAAAAAAAAAATGGCCGAAAATGCGGTGCCAAAATTAGGAAAGTGATTGTGTCCAAACTTTTGTTCGTAGTCAGATGTCACGTAGCCGAAAAAATTTGTCAAATAAAATATGAATCAATTCAAGTGTGGATGACATTGGGTCGATGCTCATATACTTTGGCTCTGCTTGAAGTAGACAAAGAAAACTTTGGGCTGAAATGCATTGAACCAAAGTAAATTTGATGTCAAAACAATTCTCAAGCATTAGAATCAAAATCACAGTCATTGAACCGATAGATATCCATTACGTCCACTTAACTTGGTTTGACTTAACGATGTTAATGTTTCCGTCAAACATGAGAAAAGCCGCATATTGTCAGACGACACACTTATGTTATTGTGATGACAATATTTATTTGTAAAACAAAGCATAATACAAAATAAGTCTGGAGTTATAGGTCAGTGTAAGGGTGGAGCAAAACAGAGAGAGAGAACATAGATACAGACAATAATTAGATGAGATAATTTCATTTATGATCAAAGCCACACACATACAAACTAGACAAATTAAACGACGAAGTGGTCACTTTTCCTCAAACGAACAGAAAAAAAAAGAGAAAATTATATGTACAACTGTGCTTAATTGCTTTCCTTTGTCTTGTTGAATTTGCTCCAACGAAATAGTACACACACTACGCATCTCACCTTTGCCTAAGCTCTAATCGTTCTCTCGTCAACAAAAAAAAGATTCAGTCATCTTTTGCTTTTCGATTTCAGCTGTGACATTGTTCTGTAGCGATCGTTCAGAATCAGACCGATGTTGTGTTCTGTCGTGTGTCCATTTAGTTTTGGTGGTATTTTCGTGTTTTGTGTTTTATTCCTGTTATTTCATTGCATTGTGTTTCTCCATTTGATATTCGAGCTGGCTTTTGAATTTACGTAGTTGTTTTCACGTCATCATCATCATCACCGTGTAAATAAACAGACACAAAAAAATGCTAGTAATCATTTTCTAGATGTTACATTGTTTTGTTCTTTCAGCAATAGTTAGTGTATTTCGTCAGCCAACAAGAGACGATAATCAAAAACAAAGACAAAAAAAAATTACCGCAAAAATGCAAGACGTTTCATAAAGTCAAGACAATGAAATAAACATTTTGAACAAGTTGTCACTTGGGATTGTGTGTATCACACGAGAATTTTCGTTGTTGTTGTTGTTCATTTTATCTCTTTTTGAATAATTTTAATTGCACTTGTTGCGATCTGAAAGATCCGTGTGGTGCGAGTCAGGCGGGGAGATAAGTCGTTAAAATACAACATTGTCTCTAAACGCACCACTGAACGGACAACACGTCGCATTGAATGTCAACAGTTCAGTGTTTACTATTTTAACTACAAAAATAGTTGCGTATTTTGGCCATATTATTTTTTTTTTCTTCACATATGATTCTTTTTCTATCTTTACAAATGCGTGTGTTACGTTGATCTAATGCATTTGGCTTGTATAAGTGAATTCATACTGATATAACACATATCACGCATAACATCCACGTACTGCAATTTGTTTTTCAATTTAACTTTATGTAAAGTATACCTTCGATTGACCAGAACCATATTGACCAGAGAGGGATGGAGAGAGAGAGAGAGAGACCAGTACTAAAGTGAATGTGTTACATCAATCATCGCAAATAAGTTTATTCATTCAGTGGAAAGCAAAAAAAATAAAAAATCATAACGCGAAGAACGCGCGAATGAACGAATGAGTCGAGAAATATGAAATCAAAACACTGAAAAGAGATGCAAGTAGCAATCACCTGAGCTGCGTAGTTGTGCACACGTACAAATATCAAGCAATATTTGTGTACTTTTCGACTCGGCTATTTTATTATCTTTTTTCCCTCTCAATTCGTTTGAATATTCATTTTTCTACTTAGCTCTGAGTGGAAGCAAAAAAGTAGAAGACCCAAAAGATTGCTAAAACCATTTTTCTGGTCGAATATAATCTTTTTGCCAGTTTTTTTTTGTTTTTTTTTTTTTATCAAACAGAGTTTATGTTTTGGTCTCAAATCTTGTTTGTGGAGAAAAAAAAATAAAGAAAATTTGCATAATAACAATTAAAGTGTAAAAAAACAAGTTCAGAAGTTGTCTTGTGAGGTAATCAGAAATTCAGTTGATTAAAATAACATTCGGAACAAAATCAAAGAATCCAATCGACGCTTTTATAATCTAAACTTTGGCCACTTTGATCAAACAATTCGGTGTTTCAACAATTATTTACAAATTTTATGACGACGACGAGACGTATACGGTCATTATCGGATTCGTTTTTGTTGCCGTCATCCAATGAACATTTGATTAGACAATTTTTGATTGCAAATCAACTCAATCAAGCGACGTATAATATGCTTTCGATTCAATATAATCGGTAATTATGATTATTATCATTTTTTTTTTCGTCGGTGAATTATTTCCATCCATTTAATCAATTTCCAACACAACACATCACCAATCTTGTGTTGCTGCATTATTTTCGCCTAATGAATCCATGCCAATGAATAATTTGAAATCTCACAAACAAACAAAATCAACTGAAATCTAAATATAGTGCGAAAGTCAAGTGATTGTCTATGTTACTCTCAAGTCACTCGATCAAAATATGTTTTTTTATGTTTGCCGTTAATTTAGCGATGCTAAAATTGGAAATTATGATTACAAAATTGTATCTTTTCGGTTTCCTTTCACCGTCACATTGGATTAAAAGTGTTTTACTATGGCCGTGTTTCGTTTTATATCTGACCAAAATAACAATACATTGTAAAAAAAAAGTCAATAAATTGTTACGCAATTGTCTTTAAACAAACAATAAACCGATTATCTAAAGAGTTTATATTGGCCGAGCGATTTCATGGCAATTCATTTTTGATCACTTTAACATTTACCTTTACGGCTACACTACATTCGATGTGCGGACACAAAGAGTCAGTCATAATTAAGATGAATTGACGATCGGAACTAACCTTGATCGTTTTTTGTTTGCTAAGTTTAACCCGTGCGATAGTATGTATTCCCCAAAATAAACAAGTTGTTTTTGTTTTTGGATATTTATTTTTAGATTTGAGACTTTTGGAGTCTGTTCAAGTAATAAATTTATCGCAACAATCGAAATAGTTCACCAGCAGCGATATGGCGTCAGAAACGGCCGAATTTTATAAAAACAAAAACATATTCATCACTGGTGGCACCGGGTTTTTGGGCATCGCATTGATTGAAAAGATATTGCGAACCACTCCAGGCGTAAGTATTTTCATTTTGTTTGGTTTAGATGCATTGATTTGTATTTTGTTGCATTAGCCGAGCAAAAATCGAATCTTATTCTTGTTGTCGAGTGAAAAATTGCTAGCAACAGTAAAAACAAATTTTCAAAGAATTGGTACGAAATGACTAAAATGCTTACGTTCAATTTTAGGTGGGAAAAATTTATTTACTTATGCGAGAAAAGCGCGGCAAAACGATCGAGCAACGTTTGGAAGATCTTACACATAATGAGGTAAATCGCATTAGTAATTAAGAATGTTGCAATTTTTCAAATTGAATTTTGGCCATTTACCCCTTGCAATTTTCTTTCATTCGTTTTCAAATTAGGTGTTTGAAGTATTATTGAAAGAACAATCGAAGGATATTTTCAAGAAGTTGATTCCAATTCAAGGCGATGTTGGATTGGAGAATTTGGGCATTTCACCCGCTGATCGTCAAACACTTGTGAGTAATGTGAATGTGATCATTCACTCAGCTGCCACATTAGATTTCCATGAGCCATTGAAGCCAACCGTTGAAATTAACTTGTTGGGAACACGCCGAATTACCCAATTGGCGAAAGAAACACAAAATTTGGCTTCATTCGTGCATGTGTCCAGTGCCTATGTCAATGCATACTTGGTTGAATGTGAGGAAAATCTGTATCCAGCCCCGGCCGATGCAGAGAAAATCATCGAAATGATTAGCACTCTCAGTGATGAAGAAATTGCTGCGAAACAGGCCAGCGTTTTGGGTGAACATCCAAATACATACACGTTCACAAAACATTTGGCCGAACATGAAGTGGCTAAATGCGCCGACAAATTCCCATGCGGCATCGTTCGACCAAGCATGAGTAAGTAAATTTTCAGTGTTTTTCGACGTTTTGACATTTTCTTGTTGTTCGGACTATGAATTAAGCTACACAGATGGCTGCTAACCCATTCTCTCTCCAAAGTCTCGATTTTTCCATCAATTCTTTTGATTTAGAAAAAAAAGTTCCCAGTATTTAGCTTAGTTTCTATCGAAAATGAGCAAAACATTAATTTTTTTTTTAAATTTTAGTCACTGGTGCTTGGAAGGAACCAGTTCCAGGATGGACGATTTCAAAGAATGGACCACAAGGTTTCCTTATGGGTGCATCAAAGGGTGTCATTCGTCGTTTGCCAATCGGAGCCGGTCTCATCTACGATTACATTCCAGTCGATGTGGTTGTCAACCAGGTATTGGTCACCGGTCAGCACATTTACAACAAGAAATCAAATGAGATCACCATCTTCCACTGTACATCGAGCACAACACAACCATTCAAATGGGAAGGAGTACAGGATAAAATCAACGGTTACTTACACAAATACCCATTGAAAAGTGCAGTTTGGTAAGGAATCACGTATTTATTTCAGTTTATTCTAATTAGTTGTTTTTTTCCTCAATTTTTCTTGTCTTTTGTTTCTTCAACATTTCCCAATGAAATTAGTAGGTATTCAAGTGGTTTAGAAAGAAAAGAATAAAATCCGGGAAAAAAAACAAAATTGTAATCAATCCATTTGTAACTATTTGTATCTCGTTTGCAGGTATCCCAACTTGAAATTCATGTCTAGTTTGCTGTTATTCAAACTATCAGCGATCTTCTTCCATTTTGCGCCGGCTTATGTACTTGACACAGTTACTAAAGTGGCTGGCGGTCGTCCAATTTTGGTGCGGCTACACAAAAATGTCTGGAGCTCATTGAAATTATTGGAAAAGTTCATCTTCACCGAATGGAAATTCCACAATACCAACACAAAAGAGCTGATCAAAATGCAATCGTTGACCGATAAAAAGCTGTATAACATTGATTTGACAACGCTCGAATGGGAAGTGTACTTTATCAATTTGGTCACCGGTGTTCGTCGTTACCTGAGCAAAGAAGATCCAAAAACATTGGAAGCTGCACGTTCCAAGGACAAAATACTCTTGGCCGCTCACGTTGTCTTGCAATTGTCATTGTACGGTTTACTTTGGTGGTTCACCGCTTTAATTATTGGCTGCACAACGGCCCAGTGTGCTCTTGTCGTTCCACTCTACTACATTTTGTTTAGCTTCTTGTAAATACATCGTATACATTCCATCCTTCATTTTTCTTACTCTGAAAACTGCGAACAACATTCTACTCGTCATTTTTATGACTATTTTTTTTGAAACTTTTCAAAGCTATTGGAAAGCGAAAAATATTTTGCTAAATTTGTTAACGAATGAACACACTGAAAAGAAAATTGAATCTTTTATGGAGACATTCCATTATTTTGAATATAATATAGTATATGTAATGATTCGCAAGGGACCAAGAAGTATCTAGCATACCAATTTCTGTTACGATAATTATTAAAACAACAACAACAACAAATATGTTACTGTAACCTAGACCATGAATACTGATATCTTCGATTCAATATTCATTTTGATAAGAATTTAAACTAAGAATACAAAACATTGGGCTGAAGGAAATTTACATGATGTTTACAATCTCACTAATTTCACCATTGTTTAACAAATATCAAGAATGAAAATTTTCAATAAAAAAACAATAAATATACTCATGATACGGTGTTATTTTACTAACGAAAAGAAAAAGGGAAGAAAAATATATAATAAAAAAACAACCTTCAACTGATGTCAAGTCCCTTTTCCATATTTAAATTTTTAATTTACCTGCATTCTGTTTAACAATTCATTTGAAAATGTGGTTCTTCAGTAGGGATGGTCATGTAAAAATATACACCACATGTTTTCCATAGGGTACACCAATGGTTTTGAATAACTATGCTTACTAATGACAATTTGTTTCGTTTGTTGATGCTTACAGTTTTTATTAAACAAAAGATTTTTTATCTTTATAAAAATGAAGAGTTTGAATAACAGTAAATCGAGTGATTCTGGTCATCACTCGAATAAAATAGAATGAAAAAAAAAGTGAAATCATTCGATTGAAATTTATGCCGAGCTCTTTTCATGTATGGCGTTATTTACCAATAGGGGCATCAAGACACACGCACACACACACACACACATAGAGTTCGCCGAGCATTGAATGACATTTCGCTTGTTGGTTTTGATGTTTGTGTCAAACGCAAGCTGATATTGCTTTAGAATGCATGCATGATAATACCGCGTCAATAAGAAAACGAAGAAAACATCGAAATAAAAACAAATGTTGTGATCTACTGAAGGTTTAGTAAAGTTTCGTCCATCTGACAAAGCAAACGCGCAATAAAATATCTAAAATGCCTCATAAGCGGAAAATTACCGAGACAATAACGCAAACAATAGAGGTAAGACTGCATCCGAATAATTCAATTCGCAATATCCCAAATTGGTCTTTCATTGGTTTTTCGTCATGCACAATATTGGGTTTGTTAAATTACCGTAGGCGAGTCAGCATCGACCCCATAAGAAGCTTCGCATTACAGCAAAACGTTCGACTAGCAATGCCGGTCCATCGATACAGGTGCTGTCAAATTTGCTAAAAACAACGACAAATAGCAATGAAGCGCTACAAATACTGACTCAAATTTCGGACACATTGGTCAACAGTGCGACCGAGGACATTGTGGAATCGATTCGGAAGCTTCGTGAACATTTCAAACGGGAAAAAGAGTCGGCAGTTCGAGTGAAGGTTAGATACTTACCGTGATTTTAATGTGCATGGAAACGAACTCGATGTTTAATTGATTGAACATTTTTATTTTAGGTACTGGCTTTATTCGGAGAATTGGCTGCCGACAGTCTGCACGATGGCACAAGTCTGGTGGACGAAGTGACTCTGTTGCTGAAAGGTGAAACATCGCCAAAGGTCATATCACAAGGTTTGCACAGTCTATTCAAAATTGGTGAGACACAGCAATTGCCATTACCGACATTGAACCGAATCGTTCTGTTTGCCAAGTTGCAACTAACAAATGCCAGCCACAATGTGCAACGGCATGCATTAACTTTGCTCGGTGCATTTTTGCAACTGCGCGAAGCGGAAAAAGAATCTTTGGATTTGATTAGCCGATACACCGACTCACAAGATTCGCGCGTTCGAGCCCAAGCATTCGATTCAATTCTAACACTTGGACAACGTGACACCTATTTACCGCCACGACTCTATTTTCGAGCACTTGAAGCCCTAAAAGATGACTATGAATGTGTACGAAAGAAGGCACTGCGATTAGTTTATGAACTTGGCATTAAACACACGGAATTGTAAGTAAACAGACGGCTAAATTTTATGTGGAAATATCTTCAGAGCGATGGATGAAAAAAAATGATTTATTTGCATTGGATATTATCACATTTTTCAGTATGATTGACGTGCCCGAATCTGACTCAAAATTGCGCATGGTTGATGCTGCTTTTGGTCACATTTGCTCCGCAATTTGTGATTTATCCATGCTGGTCCGTACACAAGCTGCCAGCTTGCTCGGTGGCATGACGGCGGTTAGCAGCGAATTCTTACATCAGACTCTTGATAAGAAGCTTATGAGTAACTTACGACGCAAGAAAAGTTTGCACGAACGATACACGGAACTATTTCAAAGTGGTGAATGGTCAAGTGGAAAAAAGTGGGCCGACGATGCACCAAAGGAACAGATCAATGCATCGACTGTATCATTGATGGCATCTGGTGCATGTGGTGCATTGGTGCACGGTTTGGAAGATGAATTTCTTGAGGTGCGAACAGCTGCCGTTGATTCATTATGCAAATTGGCCATATCAAATCCGAAATTTGCCGTATTGAGCTTGGACTTCTTGGTTGACATGTTCAATGATGAAATTGAAGGCGTTCGACTCAAGGCTATCGCCAGTTTAACAGCAATCTCAAAACATATCACACTGCGCGAAGATCAACTGGAAACGATGCTGAGTTCGTTGGAGGTGAGTATTTTATTGTTGAGATTTTTCTATATTTCTTTTAAAATTCGGTTCATAACAAATTGGTTCAATGTAATGAACAGAAGAACCACCAAACAAAGTATTATTTCGATTTTATTCTCTAAATATGTGCCTCTCACATGTGACATGTTTTCAATTTTCTTTTCTAACAAAACTCGGGACACAATTTCAAATGAGTTTTTCGAATTGTTGAATTATTATTTCCTCATTGAAATCATTCCGTAGGATTATTCAGTGGAAGTGCGCGAGGGATTGCATGTTATGCTGGGTGTGTGTCGAGTTTCTACGCAAACTTGTTTGCTGATGGTTGTTCAAAAAGTGTTGGACGTGCTGTCGAAATATCCACAGGATAAATATTCAGCCTTTGGCTGTATGCAGCGAATTGGTGCAAAGCATCCGGAGATTTGTATGTCTTTAGTGACGCAATTGCTACAAGACCATCCATTTTTCGATAGTGCCGAAAAAGATGTTGAAGATCCGGCATGTAAGTGTATATTAATGGTATTCTCATCACTTTTTTATCATTCATTTTCATTTGAATAGTTTTTTTTTGTTCAAAATTTCCAATTAAAAATTTACAAATTTCCAATATGATAATAATTATTTGCAGACGTGTGCATTTTAATCATGATATTCAATGCGGCACAAAAATTGCCACCAGCACTGGATCTATTGCCTGAAATCACGATAAAGCATTATTCATATTTGCGTGACACAATGCCGAATTTGGTGCCTGCATTGCCAATCGGTGGAACATCCACTGAACTAACGATCACCCAAGTATCGACTGGATCTCGGCAATTCCTCGAAACAATTTTGAATAATATTCAAGCATCATATTCAGCTCCGCGTGCCCGTCAAGCACTGCTCACTGCTGCACAAGACAATTTAGATCGTTTGGCTGCCATTGATCCAGAACTATCTGGTACGGCAAACTATACGGCCACATTTTTGGGTGCTCAATTGCTGATTGAACAGCTACAATCGTGTTTAACAATGTCGACCAGCCGCACACCATCCAAAGAATGCTTGAATCAATTGATGAAAAAGTGCCTTAAACTACAAAATCTTTTCTCGTCGCTCACACCGAACGATTTACTTATGGTGAAACAGATCAGCTTGCGGGCAAGTGCACTGCATCTTGTATTGATTGTGAAAGATCGATCACAGAGTGCATTAGCACCATGTCAATTGCTCCTACAAATTGCGGCCGATACAAATCAATTTCTTAATGAAAATCCATACATGCGGGCTGATGCATTCACCACATCGATATTGAATCAAATATCAAGCATGAACGATCCGAAACCGGGACGAGTGTTTCGAGAAATTTTACCCATCGTTCAAGCAGCGTCTCCGGTCGCTTCACCAGAAATTAATATCAATGTAAGCATTGGACTCTTTTTTTTTTAATTTTTATCTTCTCTCTCATTTGTTTTGCAACTTTTCATCTTCTCTCTACAGATAAAAATCTGTACGGCTCGTATTTTGGATCCAACGTCAGCCGCATCAAGCGATAATGTGATTAAAGTGACAGCTGGTCTCATTGCAGCCATACCATTTCTGGCCGAAATTGACAATTTGCGTGAAAGTCAGCGATTAGATTTGCGTATGAGAATCAAGTATCCCGATCAAAATGTTCATCTAATGGTACCACGGATGCGAGACCTTAAACGAATGGTCACAGAAAATGGAGAAGATAGTAAGTAGTGAACAATTATCTATTTTTTCTTCTGTCTTTTTTAGCTGATTCGAACATTTTTTTTTCAATTTTTAATCCACGTTTCTTGGTAGCGAATAACTGGCGTCTACGAACCAGCTTATTATTGTCACACGGTGTGTGGACAGAAGCGAGTCAAATCGACATTTCACTTTGTTTATCAGTGAGGCCAGGGCATGAATTGGAACTCTGTAAGCCGGTTAAGGTTATGTTTGCTCCAAAACCGGTCAAACGTGGAATTTAAAAATTTATTCAGTTTGATTAAAAATATGTAGATAATAAAAAAAATTGTCCACTCTAGTGATTTGAATATTGTTTTTTTTTTAATTGAATGTCGCAAGTTTTCATTTGCTGCGATTAACCTTTTGTTCGTCCATGGTGCTGCCAACTTAACTTCGTATGAATACTGGACTGTGATGAAGACAGTAAAATAGTGAATGAAGAATATTACAGAGAAGTCATTGAACCATACGTAGACAATAGATATGCACGTTAATTGACCTTTTTTTTACTATATTTTATCTATATTGATGAGTTTTTTGTCTCACAAGGAATGATTGTTTTTTGTTGTGATGTTCAGCAAAGTTGTTTCACCGGCCAAGATCTATGTATCATTTTTAGAATTCGGAGAATCCGATTTTCCGCCATTCTTGGGAAAATTGTGGAAAAATGTCACTGTATTTGGACTTTGATTAAAAACATAACTTTTAACACTACGACGGAACGGATATTTTTCGGTTAAATACAAAAACGTCAAAAAATAAAACAAAATCGTCTAAAAAAATGACAATTTCGTCTAAAGGAAATGGTCCTTTTTTTTTAACAAATTCGTCTAAAATATTTTTTTTTTAAATGACAAAATCATCTAAAACACTCTTAAAAATCAAAAATTCATATGATATTTTTATGCTGAAAGAATCGCCTGAAATATGCCAAAAAACGACTATGAACAATAGTTCATTTTAAATGACAAAATAATAATTTAAAATCCCAATTTTTTCAATATCTTCTTTATTTTTTACTTTAAGAATCACAAATTTTGCCGAACACATTGCATATGAGCTTAGTTTGATTCCAAAAAGAGATATGATCAAAACCATACCCAATGAATTTAATAAGACTGAAGATGGCTTTCCAATCCGGAGAGTATTTTTTCATTTGCCAGTCACTGATAGCATATTTCAGGCGATTTTTTCAGCATGAAAATATCATATGAATTTTTGATTTTTGAGAGTGTTTTAAATGATATTGTCACTTTAAATAAACATTTTGTTAATAGACGTTTTTGTCAATTTTGTCAGAAAACTCGTATTTAGACGATTTTGTTATTTTAAAACCCGATTTTGTTAAGAAAAAAATTGTCACATTTTTAGATGATTTTGTCATTTAAAAAAAATATTTTAGACGAATTTGTTAAAAAAAAGGGACCATTTCCTTTAGACGAAATTGTCATTTTTTTTAGACGATTTTGTTGTATTTTTAGACGTTTTTGTAAGCGGCCTATTTTTCTACACCATATCTAAGTATTGTATTTAGATATAGCTAAGATTTTGTTGAAGAAATCAAAGTATGCCTCTCACTCAGTTCGAGTTATGGGCCATGAAACACCTGGGTCATTTAAGATTCGTTAACAACAGAAGTGTAAGTTTTTTTCTTGAAAAAATAATGAGCAAAAATTAAGACAAACTCTCTATCAGTAAAAATAGTTAAATTTTAATGGTGATTTATTAACTTTTCATTCTGATACAAATTACGAAAACAATTTTTCGCTGAAAAATTATTTACTAGATTGTAATTTTTATGATTAAAAAAGTTAACCTGAAATAGTTTATATTTTAATAAGGATCATATATGCGCGGCACGACATCATTCATCCTTACGTATCGAACTTCTAACCACTCACATTCATGTTCATTTTTTGCTAAAACATCATCTGGAATACATTTACTGTTTTTTTTTTGTAATTAAGATTTTGGTTCGGATCCGATTTTTGACCAAACGCAGAACTGATTCATAGCTTTCTAAATTAACTCCTAATTGTACAACGTGACATTCAAATTCCAATAGGTTTTTACCATAAGGCAATACGTTTCCAATTTCAAGCATTGGAAGGGGTTCGTCTTCAAAAGGATCATCAGCACAAAGCATCATGATTGACTCTAATGCAGTTTGCGTTTTCAAAATAGTAATCATCAATTCATTGAAGCAATTTTTCGGAAATATCATGAAATCCAAATATTTTAATGTTCTTATGGTTGACAATTGATAAGAATAATCGATATTCGGATTCTCATCACATAGATAGATCTTCATCGTTTCAATTGGCACCTCATTTTCGGCAAAAGTGTTGACCATTGTTTTGAATAAGATCGTACTATTCAAATCAATTTCGAAATGTTTTAGCTGTCCCAATGCACCCAAATACTGTAGGTTTGTATTAAACAAATCTGG